AGAAGAAAATTTCCTTGATCACGGTGGTCTCGTCCATGGCGCGCGCGACGTTTTTTCCGCTTCTCCTCACGACTTCGGCCTTTTATTCTCCTTTAATCTGCCGCTCGAAATCGCAATGGGGACATATTGTTCGCTTGTCCGCTTGTTTTTTCTTCCTATGTGCTTCTCGAGAGGATGCGCTGTATGCTTTATCGCTCGACGCCGGTGTCTTTTTCTTTTTCAAAGTTTCAAATTTGATCGATTGGGATAGGTTAAAATTTTCATTCGTTACATCATAAATGCTTTAACCTACGGTTCTGATTTGAGTAAATTGATGTCCCTTGGCTATCGGATGTTATCGAAAATATTTTGAAATAAATTTAAAATTTATTATAAAATTTTAAAAGAAAATAAAAATTTGAAAATAGTTAATGATGATAATCCTTGGCACAGAGATATTCCGTGGAACTAAACAATTGTTCGTCATGCACGCGTTAAGAAAATGCACGTAAAATTGTTATTAGTAACAATTCGAGCATTCCTAAGTAGTAAAACCATAACAAGTATAACCGACCACCTTATAAGAAAAAAAAAGACTCTTCATTGGTTACTTGCAATCCACTAAATATAAGATCAGCGAAACACTGTTAAAGATAACGCTGCGCACGTACATACACACACACGCATAGATGCAGAAGAAATGGCGCCCACGCTTTATGCTAACGGTGGGCCGCTCGCGCGATGACAGTGGCTGGGTGGTCTCTCGACAGAGAGAGAGAGAGAGAGAGAGAGAGAGAGAGAGAGAGAGAGAGAGAGAGAGAGAGAGCAAGCCTGAGGGGCCAACCCCCCTCGAGTCCTCCACACCTTTTGGCCTGCTTGCGTACTTATATATACTTGGGAGGGAGGGGGGGCAATGACGTGCGCGCAATCGTTTTTCCTCCCGAGCCAGCACTTACTCCTCCTTTTCTCCGTGTGGCAATTGTGCTGGATTAGCAAAAACCATCCGGAGGAGGGGCTCTCACTCGACTACTACGCGGCTAGTTGGAGCAACACACAGTCGAGAGAATATAACTTTCACAGACGTGTATTTGTTAAGTGGATCCATAAGTGCGCCAGGGAGATTTGCATTGAACTGGCGCTCGCGCGAGTGTCTTAGAGCGCTCACGGTGATTTAATGAACGAGCACTCGCGCCAGAGGAGTAGTTTATTGCGCTAATAGTGGCTCCGAGCGAATATCTCCTTGCGAATCTTTACTGCCGCATAAACGACAGAAAAATGTCTCGCTTATAAATCGAAGCCGACCGTTGTCATGGGATTGCTCGCGAGGGCGAGTCGCGCGAAAATCAAATCAGCCGAAAAATTTGCATAATAGCTCTATTTGGAGGCTGTGCGCGATAATCACCCGACACCCAGGCGAGCAATGTCCGTTTCAATCGTTCATCTCAATGGGCTTCGCGAAGAAAACGAGGGAGGCGTATATAGCCCCGCACACTCGTTCGCACCTCCAGACGTGTCGTCACCGTTTTCTTTCTCGCTGTTGTTTTTTTTTTGTTTTTAAGAGGCGCCCCCATGCCCGCCCCGGCCGCAGACTTCCACGTGTAAGATATGCATCTATTCTTCTGCTTCTTCTTCATTCAGCGATGCCGGTGCGGTAAGGGCTTACATTGCTCAATGGGATGCATTATATGACTTTTTATGAATGACTACCAATTTCATGCTTCTGCGACGATGACGATGATTGCAGCCTTTTAATGGTTTTGTGAAAGCTTTTTGAGGTTTGGGTTGTGTTGATTTGAACTGGCGGAGTTATGTCGATGATGAATATTTACATTTGATGGACATGTAAATACAACTGATTGCGTTACGTTGAGTCGTAAATATTTTTGAGAAACTGCTATGCTTTCTTTGCATCTTTAGAGAATACGTTGAAAATCATTCGCAAAGGACTTTTACGTATTTACATAAAGGTTTACTCATGAAAATCAGGGTATGCATGATACAAAAATAAACGCCAAACAAATAAAATGTTTGAAAAATATGTTTCTTGACCTCGCGATCAAAGCTAACGACAGGGTAATCGTGTATAGATGTTTCACAGCTGGCTATGAATGGGAGTCGAGGTCGGTAAAAAGAACAAGGAAGAAAGTAAGAGAGGGAAAAAAAGAATTGAGAAGAAAGAGACTCGACGTGGTGCGGGTGTCACGTGGAGACACTAAGTGGAAATTGTTGTCAAAACGTCGGGGACCACAGACACGGACCAGAGCCACTTTCTACGTGTACGAGTGCCTATGTGTTTCGGGGGACCGCCGGGCCATATATTTTTTTGAACCCTGCGATGCGTAGGTTGCATTCGTTCTACCTTAGCTTTTCTGTTATTTTTTATTTCCGTAATTTGGTTGGAAATGATTATCAATGGTTTCATTGATGCATGCAATTGAGTGTATAATGAGCTTTGTTGTTGAAATAAAATTTTATTACAAAATTTAAACAAAGAAAACGAAAATACATAGCACTGAGAGCATTGATATTATAAAATTTATCATAAACCGTAGTAAAAATTACAAAAAATAGTGATCGTGGGATAAATTTTGAATGTATTAAAAGTGTTATCTAATAGCAAAATTAAATACTAGAAATTTTATTACATAACAAATGAAAATTCACTTGAACCCATAATAATTATTACTATAAATAAAATACAGAATATTAACTCGGTAAATTTTGCAAAATTTTAAGTTCATTAGTTACTTAATTTCAAATACTTGCCGTACACTATGTATAATATTAAATAGTTCGGGCATACATGTACCAGCAATGTTATCTTTTTTACAACTTAAATTTAAATAAATTTTTTTACAACTTTAATTTTACAGCTTCTTAAATTATTAATGATACGAGAAGGAAAAATATTTTATTTTATTTGTACTGTAAATTAACAGGAAAATATTTTGTTACTATTTAAAGCGTTTTCGGTTATAAAAAGTAGTTACATTATTATTTCTATTCTTCCATTTGAAACTTCGGTCAGAAAAATGTTGAACCGAATAGCATCTTTCACTTTTCTACATGCGACATTTTGTAAGAAAATTCAACCAATATTTTTTTTATAAAATATTTTTTTTATAAAAACTCGTTATGTATCACTTGTTTTAATGCAGTTTACACGATATCTGAAGAAGGTCCATTATTCGGGGAAACAACTGAAATTGTGGAACAAGAAGAATTCCAGAAAAATTTTGGTTTTATGGCATCGTTAGGCGATTTCAGTAAACTTGGAGTGCATGTGAAATGGAAAAATCACCTATGTGGCGGCATACTTATTTCGAAGAGACATGTTTTAACCGCAGCACATTGCTTATATTTGCAAGAGTTTCATAAAATCATGGTTACATTTGGATCGACTGATTTGAACTGTGGTATTTCGTACGAAGTGAAGTCATGGATCGTTTATGAAGATTGGGCTAAGCCACATAGAATAAATCTTTTAACAAACTTACTTTTTTATGATGATATCGGTATCATAACGGTAATACAATGAAGAAAGCAAACAAAAATTTTGCCTGAGGAAAACTACATCATCGAATACATTCCACAGCTATCAACTGACATAAACCATATTCAACCAGCTGTTATTTCGAAATTGAACGAAAGCGAAGTTTTGAAGCACAGTGTGATAGCAGCTGGCTGGGGGATCTCCGACGAAAAAAGGAAAACTAGACCGACGAAAATGCAAAAGGTACATATGAATTTTTTCAATTCGATGGAGTGCGATGAAATAACTTGGGAAATATTTGGACCATTGAACGTAACGCATTCAAATAGATATTGCACATATTCGAATCCGCCTTCATTTATATGTTGCGTAAGTAATGATTAAATCATTTTTTATTTATATCATTTAAAAAGATAAATTTGCAGGGTGATAGTGGCGGACCACTTTTTTTGAATGATACTAGAGAACTAGTTGGAATTATCAGTTCTATTTTTAAAAGAAAACGATTTTATAAAAAAAGAAATGTAGCATCTTTGTATATTAAAGTTAAGGACTACGAAAATTTTATTAACGATGTTATCAAATCGTAGCGCATTAAAAATACATAAGTTTATAATGAAGTATTCCATGAATTTTATGAGCGAAAAAAATTATTATGAAAATGAAATTTACAAAATAAAATTATTAATAAATAGGTTTTTATAAGCTGCTTGTTTATCGTGCTTTTGACGAGAATAGAAAGCAGTATGCAACTTTAAATATATTTCTGTTATGGTTTCGTTATTTGTTATTATTATTTCAAGATCTAATATCGTTTTGAACTTTACAAAGGTACATAAGGTTTCTGTACGTATTGAGACTGGTGATAGCGATGATATCACAAGTGGGTTGTAATATATTGCAGGCATAGGAAACTAGTTACTTTACGACTGCAATTTCAAATTCTAGGCCATTGTGAAACTTGCAGACAGCTAAATTTGTTCGGCTTAGTCTTAGAATTTTTTCAACGTACAAATTTAATGTTATTAAATAACAGATTACATATATTGGATGGAAATGTATCGAGAAGTCCGAAGTACATACGTGAGAATAGAAAACCGAGGAGAAGATGACATTGTCAAACACATATTATAGGCTTGCTAATTTTCTGGCCGTGCTGCGTCTACTATTTTTCTGCTTAGCGAGATCGAAATTAAACCAAACAGCAACTAAAAATAGCTACTTTAAGATCACTGGACGGAAAAACTTAAGTTATTTAGTAAAAAATGATATACAACCCTTGGCCACATTATTAGCAAGCCCATAACCCATGTGCTAACATATTTTATGGCTTCAAAATCAATGTACAAGCTTCTAATACAAACATTTTTCTATTAGAAATAATTTTTAATGCTCACACGGCCATTATTTTTTTTATCATTCTTCGTTACTATTTAGCATAAAATATCATATTATATTTATATGAATTATGTAAAAATATAAGTCTATCAGTTATTCGACTTCAAATAGTCACAGTACAGCATGTAGATTGAATTTTAAATAGTCTGCGCATGCATGCGCCAGCAATGTTATCTTTTTTACAACTTGAAACGAGTTTCTCAAATTGTTAATAATACAAGAAAGAAAAAAATTTTATTTGTATTGTAAATCCACAGAAAAACAGTATTGTATTATTTAAAGTGCTATCGATTGTAAAAAGTAGTTACTTAATTATTTTCGTTCTTTCTTTTGAAAGTTTTGCCACAAAAATGTTGAATCGAATAGTGTTTTTCACGTTTTTATATGCGACACTATGTAAAAAATTTTATCTATTATATTTTATAAAAACTCGATATACATTATCTATTTTAATGCAGTTGACGCAATCTCCGAACAAAATCCAATAATTGGCCAAACAGTTGACGTGGAAAGAGATGAATTTCAAAAAGATTTTGGCTTTATGGCATCTTTGGGTGATTTAAGCATATTAGGAGTGCATAAAAAATGGGAAAGCCACCAATGTAGCGGCATATTAATTTCAAAGAGACACGTTTTAACCGCATCACATTGTTTACATATTCAGGAATTTCATAAAATCATGGTTACATTTGGATCGACTGATTTGAACTGTGGTATTTCATACGAAGTAAAATCATGGATCAATTATACAAATTGGGCTGTTTTACATGGAATAAAAGTTGTAACGGACTTACTTTTTTATGATGACATCGGTATAATAATGGTAATTTGATAAAAACCGAAAACATGGGCAATTCTCAGAGATTTTTACTTTCGTGTCACTCTACGATATTTGTGTTTTCTATGGTTGGCGAATGAGAAATCTTCTTGTGTATGGGTTTAATGGAGTTTAGTAGGCGGTGTACACTATCGGACATGAAGAATAGCAATGTAGGGAAAAAAAGAATGGAATCTAGATGTGCCAAAATGATGTGCTTCTAAAAAGAGGTAATTTAAATACAACGATTTAAATACATTGATGAGAATAAACCTCATTTTAAACGGGAACATGCACTGGAAACATACAAAATAGAGTATTATATCAAGAATGGTACGATATAAACTCGAAGCTTCAATTTAGAAACTTATTTGTCGCAATATCATTGAAACTTCTATTATCCCGAAGCGTCAATGTCAATGTAATGTATACGTTTTTCTACAAAATATATACTTTTTTGACGATTATCGTTATTCATTTATTTATTTATTGTCGTTTTCCTGATTTTTGAATGTTCAAAAAACGTTTATAACGTTTTGTGCGTTGCTTTAAAACATGGCACCCAATAGATATAGCATTCTGATAACTAACAGAACATGCGGTCAAAATTTTAGACATGTGCTCCATAATTTAAAAAAAAAATTTTTTTGTATAAGCAGGTTGAAGGTTTCTGAGAAATGCCGATATATTCCGTAAAGGTTTGAGACTATTTTTTTTAACAAAAGTTAATCGTCATTTCCATTTCACAGTTATCTCATGACGTAAACCATATTCAACCAGCTGTCATTTCAAAGTTGAACGATAACGAGGTTATCGGGAAACAAGTTATAACAGTTGGTTGGGGGATCATCGATAAAAAGAAAAACATAAGACCGAGGAAAATGCAAAAGGTATATTTAAATGTTTTGGATTCAACTAAGTGCGATAATATAGTTTGGGAATCATTCGGATATTTGAACGTAACGCATTCAAATAGATATTGCACACATGCAGATTTGGGGGCGTTTATATGCTGCGTGAGTAATAATAAAATTGCTTTTCTTTTAAGATTAATTAAAAGGATAAATTTACAGGGTGATAGTGGTGGACCACTTATTTTATATAGTACTAAAGAAATCGTTGGAATTGTAAGCTATGTTTTTGAAAGAAAAAAATTTTTTAAGAAACGAGTAGTAGCATCTGTGTACATTAAACTCAAGGACTACGAACATTTTATTAATGATGTTATCAAAACGTAGTGCATTAAAAATACGTAAGTTTATAATGAAGCATTCTATGAATATTATATGTGAAAAAAATCATTATGAAAATGAAATTTACAAAATACAATTATTAATATATAGATTTTTATAAGCTGCTTGTTTATCATATTTTTGATGAGAATAGGAAGCATAAAGTTACTTTAAACATATTTCTGTTATGATATCCTTATTTGTTATACATAGGGAGCTGGATACTTTACGATTGTTATTTCAAATTCTAGGCCATTGATAAGCTTGCAGATAGCTAAATATGTTCGACTTAGTCTTGTAATTTTTCAAGTGTGACAATTTTTTGTGAATAAATCTAATTTTACACACAGTTACCTACACATGTTCAAACACATATTAAACCTGTTGTAATGCAAAATTTGAATGATTGAAAAGTTAGTAGACAACAAATAATAGCTGCAGATTGGGAAAAAAGTGATGACATGGGAAGTGAACGCAGTTTATTTGTGATCTGATTGGCTGAAAAATAATTCTCGGTATCAGCTGTGTATGTTCACAAACTTACTCCAGATTTTTGTAAATGATTAGACATGTAAATAGTGTATCAGTATAGTATAATAAATTTTATATGAATTGATTGATTTAATCATATTAATATTTAAATAAAAGCCGACTGGTATTTCGATCGGGAAATTAATTGAATTTAGTTTTATGCGAAAGCTTAGCCTCGAACAGAATGGACAGTAAAAGATATAAATCGATAGATTACATGATAAAATATTATATAGTGATTATGGCCCTATTACATTATATAAAATATTAGAAATTTTTTTATGAATTTTTTTTATCAATTACAACTGTTAACGGTACTGGAATACGTATATTACTTACAACCTGAAGGATTTCATTATAGAATTTATAACATTTTTAGAACTTAGATCATATTTTTTAACGTGTTTTTGAAACTTTTTGACGGTTTTTCAATACAAAACTTCTTGATAACATTTCGAAATCTATTGCATATTGAATTTGCTATTTCGCCAATAAAACTTTTGATCTATATTCGTGCATAAAAATGAATGCGAAAAAAACACGGAAAAGATAAACATCATTTTAAAAATATAAACAAAATTTAAACATCACTAGTAAAAAAATAGTCGAAACCAAGAAAAACGCAAAAAGCAAATCTAAATATCTTAGAAAAGACAGATTACAACGTAAAACTCTTGCTATGTTCATTGTAAAAATTGTTCAAATCGTAATAATTTTTACTAGGAATTCTGGCATATGTTATTCCATATTTTAATAATAATTATTACAACGCAATAATTTTTATTATAATACATAACAAATTCTACCATGATTACTATGTTTAATAATAAATTTTATTGGAACTACAGCACATTGTATTAGAGCATTTCTTTCAGAGTTAACATCAATATTGGTATGGAGGAAAAAAATATAAAAGTTTAAGCGAGATTTATTACAAGAAATTTAAAAACATTTAACGTTCGTAAGTATTAAAAAAAACATATATGTAATAACTTTGCAGTGACGCAAAACCTTAAAAAAGTCATTTATACGTTTTCTGTAAGCTGCTATAAAATTCATTATCGCGCGTAATAATATACTGTCTGAGTTTAGTGAAACACATGTAGGAATTTGGTTTCTACGTCGAAATTTTTATTTTTTCTATTTTGAAATACTATTTATACTGTGTTTTTTTATCAGACTTATCATGACATGCCTTCTTATCACCCGTTAACGCGGTACATGATATTCCTCAGCCTAATATTTTCATGATATATTTGTTTCATAGCAACCACATTTTCGCATCTGTAAACAGACCCTCAGTTTGATTATTATATCTGAGCGTTTTAATTATGAAACCACCAGTGTATAATTTGGTGCTTCTTAAATGAAGCTTTCTTCTTAAATATATATCGCGTCATAGAAATATGTAATTTTTAATCTGAGCATTTCATATTCATCACATAGTCTTTGCACTTGAATGTTTATACGAGTGTTTTCATCTTTTTGTCACCATAATAGAGAATTTCTTTAGATAATTTTTTTGGTCTTGGTAAATTGTCAATCGAATGTGAATTTTCCTCCATTTTTATAAACGTTGGGCGATTTTCTAAGCTTGATTGTCATCTAGGTATAATAATTAATCTATGGTATTTTTTTGAGTACTTACATCTAAGTAAATATTACAAGAAAAACCGCCACAAATTTTCAAAATTTTAGCAACCTATAGAACTTTGTAGGACGCTTAAAATATAATTGATTATACTTTATTACATTTCGATGTCATTTAACAATACGCCATAAAAGGTAAAATACGTTAATATAATTAATTTCTAAAGTTGAATTTTCATCTTAACAATATGTCATTTTGGTAAACGGCATTCAAAAGTAAAAGTGAAAAATAACAGCAACACAATTAATGTGTTTTTATATCAGCAGATACTGGTTAGCGCCTCGTCTTATCTGTTTGAAAATTCTGCACGATAAGCCGACAAGCGCATATAGCCAGGGACGCGCCGAAAAAAAAGGCAAGGTCGTCGTCGCGCGCGTGCGTTTTTTGCCTGCGGGGACCGCAACCCATCCGTTAGACCCTCGTAAATATGTGCCCTTTTCTACTGCTCCTTTTAGCCCGAGCCCGCCGCGCAGCTCTCTTTCTTTCTCCATGATTTCCTTTTTCTCTGCCTTTTTTTTTTTTGTTCTCTCTTCGACGTTCGAGGATTTAATTTGACCAAATGCGGAGAACAGAGATGAAAAGAAAAGAGAAGATCCAGGCGATCCATATCTGATGCTTTATCATATCCGCTCGACGATGAACGACTTGGCTGCGTGCTCTCTTCGAGCGCCTTAATTCCGGATCCTTTGTGTCTTTCTATTTTTTTAACGTTTTGTCCTTTAGTGTCTTTGCGGGTTTCGCTATGATTCTCGTCATTAAAATACGGTTGCCGAGTAATAACTGTTTTTTTGTGATTGATTTGGTTAAAAATTTGTTAGGTTTTTTTCTGAGAACCGGAACCGTAAATGAACATATTTTCATAACGTGTAAATCTGACTTATGAACGCATCGATTGTTTACACTTACTTCAAAGTTGTATAAGAAGCTGTATAAGCTTATTTTAAATCTCCCCTATTGAAATAAAACACTTCCATCTCTTCGATAATTGAAAAATTTCTTATATGAGGTATATGTAAATTGGATGATAAATAATAAAGAAGTTTGGAATTTCATAGTATGAACTTGTAATAACTATATGTAAGATTTTTATAAAAAAAAATTCCGAACATCTTTGATAAATTCTTGGCTCATCTAAAAATATTGAACAAATCCTGTGTTCGTAGTGATCTTACAGTTTTATTTATGCATTTGATGTCAGTTGAATAGATGAAAATAATAATACATTCCACGTATCAGATGAAAATAAGCTAATCGCGTGACTTGTAGTTAGGAATAAATACAACCTAGTTTTATTCAAAATGTAATACTATACCTTACATCCATACTAAACGTCATTCAAAAACTTTTTAAACTAAAAAAAGTTAAAAGGAGGTCAAAAAAGCTCATATTGCCCTAATGTCGCGGGAAAATGTGACAAGGCTAAGCGCTAAAAAGCAATAAAAAAGTTTTAGTGGTATATAAGAGGCAAGCTCGAGAAAACTCTCGCTGCAATAGGCTAATCTCTTGTCCGGGTAACGAGGCTCGCTGTGTCCCGAGATAGCGAGCCTCGTAAATTTTCTGCACATTTTCTTCGAGTCCGAGCGACTACCACACGTGCATTTGTATTCGTATGGGTTTTCTTTAATGGCTCTGCTCTACTGAATGAGCGTCAATTGATTATTAATGTGGGAATTGTCACCCTTTGAATAATGTGCTCCAAACTGTTTGCCAAGGTGTGATTCCAATTGAATACATTTTGAAATTTGTTTAATGATGGTCAATTTTTGTCATTGTTTCGTTTATTTTATGAAATTTTCCATCAGTTCTATATATAAATGTGAAAATATGTGTCTATTTATAAATTTTAGATTTGAGTTAAACCTCTAAATTATTACCTTTTATGGAATCAAAGTAACAGCTTGTTAAGTCGCTTGTTTCTTGATTAACAAGCATTTGTGAATTGAAAATTTATGACTTTTTCTTCACTTTGCTATCGTGTCTGATTAAACGTTTAATAATAAACACGCGTTATCAGATACATTTGAAATGAAACTCACCGATAAAGTTAATTATTTGACATTTCGAAAGCTCGACGATACTCGTCGATGCCATGTCGCAAGTTTTTTTCTCGATTTTTTGAGATACTCAGTTTTAGAAGTATTCGCGTACACAGAGACGCCACTAATTCGCAAAGAAACACTCTTAAGAAATGATCACACACTACATCAAGTCGTGCATTAGCATTATCTGGAATTAAAATGAATCGAAAGAGAATCCTAACGAATAGCAATAAAAGGACAATTCCAAAGGCGAAATCTAAAACAAAAACAGGTTCAATGGATTCTCTCTTCCTCTCGCGAAGTGAGTGAAAAAAAAGAGGCACGCTCTCTCGCAGTTCCGTGCTCTTCTCACGGCGTTGTATATGCTAATGCGAGACGGATGTCTCTCCTCGTTCCCTTGGATCCTCTTGCTCTTGCTTTTTATCTGCTCGCCCCTGCGCTCTCTGCTCGCCTTTTTTTTGCTCTTTCTCCTTATATTTTATTCACACTTCGGACTTCTTTTTTTTTCTATCAGATTTTTTTCTGTACATTAGGCGCGGAATTAAGGATTAGATAAGGGATCGAAATTAATTGTTGCTGCGCGCTGACGTTGAGAATAGACGTTCTTCTTGTTAGGGAAACATAACAGTTGGTCATTTTAATAACTGTTTGGGATAAAAAATTAAAGTATACCGCGCGTTCGATAGTGCACTCTATTTGAATGTTAAATGTTACGATAAATTATTATGATACCTATGATAAATGAAAATGAGTTCTTTGATACAAATATTAAAACCGAGAATCGCGCCGAATCTCTTAGTTGTACTAACCAAATAGCGAATGACAAACCAATGAATCACAATGAAATACAGCTCAATCTAATCCCTAAATAAGCTCCGCCGCAAATTGATAATTCGAAAAGCAAAAGTCTATGCGTGTATGCAGCATCGTCGTGCGCGTATATCCTCCGCCAAAAAGCTGAACATATCCACCCCGCGACATTCGTCCTCCACAGCGGGGAGGCATATCGGCAACGTATATATACGCACATAGCCATATAGCGTCGCGCGCGCTTTTAACATCGTTCGGCTTTCGTAAGAGCGCAGCGGCTTTTAGTTTCTCATGCGCGTGTGAGATTTACGGTGAGACTCGATTAAAAGCCATGTTTTGTAATATTTCGTTCGGATCGATGTATACAAGTCGCTGATCCCCTCTTCATGTTTTTATTTATTAATATGCGCGAACGCGCGAAGCAAGATTTCAAAGATTCGGCCAGCACTCCCTTTGTCGTACACGCGACAAGTTGTAAGTCGGAGGGCGTGGCTAATTTTTGTTACCATCGATTGATTATGAATTGAGCAGAACATTTTCCTTTAGTTCATCAATAAGAA